GTCTGTCTCAGGGCCCAGGGAGAGGTCAGGGAAGCGCCCTCCTCCCAGGCTGGGGGGCCGGGGGGGCTGCGGTAGGAAATGGAAACCGGACAGAGTGTGAGCCGCTAACAAACGGCTGAAGACGCCGCTCGGGTGGGAAGGGTGGCGGCTGGACAGGGGCCGGATGCCGAGGTGGAGGTGGACGCGCAGTCGGCAGGAGATGGGGTGCAAAGGCTCAGCACATACGTACCCCGAGTTCCACAGTGTGGGCACGGAGAGTAGGCAATGGCCGAGAACCTTCCAGAAATGATCACAGGCACAGATCCTCCAGTAATATCAGAGGCCCAAGCCCCCAGGTGGACAGATGAGAACCAACCTAACCGGGACACCCCGTTCTGAACGACAGAAGCGAGAGGGCTGAGGCGAGCTCACGGGCTGTGGGGGGGAAGGCGTGAAGACACAAGGAAAATGGAGCCGGCCCCGCCCCCCTCACAGGCCCCGCCCACCATCACAGGCCCCACCCACCCTCAGACCAGGGGAACCGGCCCCGCCCACCCCCACAGGCCCCGCCCACCCAGGCCAGGGGAACCGGTCCCGCCCACCATCACAGGCCCCACCCGCCATCACAGGCTCCGCCCACCCCAGGCCAGGGAACCGGCCCCGCCCACCCCCGCAGGCCCCGCCCACCATCACAGGCCCCACCCACCCTCAGACCAGGGGAACCGGCCCCGCCCACCCCCACAGGCCCCGCCCACCCAGGCCAGGGGAACCGGTCCCGCCCACCATCACAGGCCCCACCCGCCATCACAGGCTCCGCCCACCCCAGGCCAGGGAACCGGCCCCGCCCACCCCCGCAGGCCCCGCCCACCATCACAGGCCCCACCCACCCTCAGACCAGGGGAACCGGCCCCGCCCACCCCGCAGGCCCCGCCCACCACAGGCCAGGGGAACAGGCCCCGCCCACCACCACAGGCCCCGCCCACCACCACAGGCCCCACCCACCCCAGGCCAGGGAACCGGTCCCGCCCACCACAGGCCCCGCCCAGCCTCACATTCTCTGGGGAACCAGCCCCACCGGTTAAACTAACATCAGACAACATAGACTTTAAGACAGAAGCTGCTGTTCGGGAAAGTGAGAGCAGCGCGCAGTGACAGGTGGCTCAGTCGGGGACGTAAAGAGACACGAAGTACAGCCTTCACGGCGGGAAGCAGGCGTTCAGCTGGGAATCCCCGTGACCCCGAGCCAGGGAGACGGACCGTTAGTAAGTGGTGGGTGGTAGTGACAGCGCCCCCACGAGCTTGAAGCCCCAGCGCTGCGGCCGTCGTGTGGCTCCAGCGCCAGCAGGCTGGGAATCGCTGACACAGTAGCTTCACATTCGCTTGGAAATCTCAAACCAAATTTCTTTTTTTTTTTTAAGATTTTATTTTTACATAAGCTCTACATCCGACGTGGGGCTTAAACTCACAACCCTGAGATCAAGACCCCCTCACTCCGCCAACTGACCCAGCCAGGTGCCCCTAAATCAGGTCTGCAGATCATTCATGAGTGACAGAAGTGAGTATCAGCGGTGCCCCATCGGAGATTTGGGGCTCAGCGAAAGCAGAGTTCTGCAGAAGATGAACCCTTAAACACTCGCAGCGGTAAAGAGAGCTGGCGATTAAAGAGCCAAACATCCAGCTTAAGGCAGAAAAATAACCACAGAAACGTAATATATGACAGGAAGTGGAAGGATGGATGCAAAAAAGGTGAAAAACAAGAACAAATTGAAAATGAAATCGTAATAGAAACAAAAAATATAAAAGTGGATTTCTTGAAAAAATAGTAATAAAATAGCTAAAATTCTGACGAGATCTCCCAACGGGGAGAAAACACAGGAGGCACACACACCAGTCTGCGGAACGAAAGAGGGCGTCAGCTCGGCGGTGGGGGCAGCACGCAGTGAGGAAGGCGCCGCCATCAACACCCTTTGTACCCATGACTTACAACAGTGAACAAAGAGACGAGTTCCTAGAAAAACATCATTTGCCAAATATGATTCTCAGGGACCCAGAAAGCCCGAACGGTCCTGTAAACTCTAAAGAAACTGAATTAATAGTTGACAATCTTCCCACAAAGATGTGAAAAATCGAAGACAGGTTCCCATGCTCCCCACAAATTAAAAGGAGTAATTTCAGCCTGTTTTTACAAACTTCAAAATGTAGGAAGAAGGGGATGCATACCTGATTCATTCCAGGACTCTGATATCATTTAAATAGGAAGACCAGGCACGCAGGATGAGAAAGAAGAAGCGTAAGGAGTGACAGTTGTGAGCACGGATGGGCCAGCTGAAGTCCATTCTCGCCACATCCAGTCCGACCTCGCGCTGTGTCACCGTTGGAATGGGGCTCTCCCAGGACAGAAACCTGAGAAACTCCCTGACTCCCATTAACGGCTTCAAGGAGAGAAACACGTGTTATGCAGGAGATGCAGGGCCCGGGCCAGTCCTGGCGAAGGGGCGGGACTTGCCTACCAGACGGGAGATGCTCAGAGCAGTGATGTTAGAATTGCTCCTTGGACATCATGTTAAAGATGTGATAAGCCAAAGCTAACACATCGTCATAGTAATGTGGGTGGGAACCAGCATTTTCCATGTAAAAGGAAAGAGATACAAGTCCAAACCGGGCTCTGGGGAGAAAACCTGACGATGGATGTGAAGCCAGGGTCCCGGGGCAGCCGCGTGCCCCCACGCTCTCTGCAGCACTATTCTCAATGGCGCACCCCCAGCAGCACCCTGCGTGCCCACCAGCTGACAAATGCATGAAGAATATGTGGTGTGGGGGCGCCGGGGGGCTCAGGCAACTGAGCCTCAGACTCTTGGTTTCTGCTCAGGTCATGGGATTGAGCCCCACGTCAGGCTCTACCCTGACAGCACAGAGCCTGCTTGGGATTCTCTCTCCCTCTGTCTCTGCCCCTCCCCTGCTTGGTCTCTCTCCTTCTCTCAAAATAAGTAAATAGACTTAAAAAAAAAAAAGTGGTGTATATTCACACACACAACAGAATACTACTCAGCCGTAAACGAGAAGGAAATCCCACCACGGTGACACCTTGGGTGGCCTCGTGGGCATCTGGTGACCTGAGGGGAGTCCGGGAAAGACAAACACCGTAGGGTGGCTTCCATGGGTGGAGTCTGAAAACACCAGGCTCACAAATACAGACGCAGTTGTCAGGGTCGGGCGGGCAGGGCTGGGGGGGGCAGCCCGAGTGAGACACGCTGGCAGTCAGGCAGTTGGGTCCTGGGATGTGGTGGGCGTCACCATGAGCGTGGCCGCTAAGAGTGGGTGTCAGGTCTCATCACAGGGAAAGCACTGACTGCGCGCGGCGGTGGGTTACCCGAGCCGGCGGAAATATGGTTGTGTTCACCCCGGAAACTAATAGTGTCATGTCAGCTATATGTCAATAAAATGGAGGTGGGGGACATGATAAAATTAAGAAGAAGAAGAAAAGAAAGATAGCTTTGCGATGCCACAGCCAAGCTGTCACTTCCTCACAGAAGGCGGCCGCCAAGCCAAGGTGAAAGAAAGAACACGGCGGTTGGCTTGGGTCAAGCGGCTGAGAAGTGGGACATCTGCGAGGCGCCGGAGCGCCAGCCCTGGGCTGCTCGCTGGCACCAAGGCAGCACGCTTTCCTGGCAGGCTTAGCGTCCCTAGTGGGGGACCCGGGGCTGTGGCCCATGCCCCCCCCCATGCCATCCCTGCCGGGATGAGCCAGCCGCCTCTGCCTCGCAGGCTGCCTGTCTCCTGGCTCACAGAGGGGAGGAAGGGGAGGCGCGCGGGAAGATGGGTTTGGGATGATGTTAGGAGTTGGGCTCACAGGAGGCCGCTAGGTCAGGACGGCGGAGCCCTTGAGATGCGGCGCCCTTCCGCAGGAGCCCCCAGAGAGCCCCCAGCCCTCCCCCACTCGAGGACGCAGCGAAGAGAGCCAGGACTGAGCCTCACCAGACACACTGCCTGCCGGCGCCTTGACCTTGTGCTCCCAGCCCCCCAGTCCACAGCAGCCTGAACAGACTAAGAGAAACCAGAACTACGACCCCGCTAATACCAAGGAGTCACTGTTTTGCGAGGGCTGGTACTGGTGTTGCGATCCTGTAGGGCATCTATTTTTTTTTAATGTTTTTTATTTATTTCTGACAGAGAGAGAGACAGCGTGAGCAGGGGAGGGTCAGAGAGAGAGGGAGACACAGAATCTGAAGCAGCTCCAGGCTCTGAGCTGTAAGCACAGAGCCCGACATGGGGCTCGAACCCACAAACCCTGAGATCATGACCTGAGCTGAAGTCAGGTGCTTAACCGACTGAGCCCCCCAGGCGTCCCAGGAATCTATTTCTTTTTTTTTTTTTTTTTTTTATGTTTTTTTTATTTTTATTTCTAGGAGAGAGAGAGACAGCGTGAACAGGGGAGGGTCAGAGAGAGAGGGAGTCACAGACTGAAACAGGCTCCAGGCTCTGAGCTGGCAGTCAGCACAGACCCCGACGCGGGGCTCGAACCCAGGAACCGCGAGATCATGACCTAAGCGAAAGTCGGACGCTTAACCGACTAAGCCACCCAGGCGCCCCAAATCTATTTCTTTAAATCTTGCCCTGTGAGACTTCTGGGATGTCCCTTATGCTCCCAGGACACGGAGTTGATGGCTGAACTCCAGCAGCCTTTGTGAGGCCACGAGGCCCTGGTCAACGCTAGGGAGTAGGAGCTGAGAGCTGGGGGGACCTGGCTCCCAGGGGCCACCAGCCCCCAAACCTGGTTAGTGTGAGAGAGACGTGAGCAATGACTCAGGCTGGGCCCCGTGCTCTCTGTGGCTGGCATCAAGCCTAACCGATACTGAAGCCCATGACTAGAAAGTGAATCTGCCGTGGGACATGGGGCCGGGAGTGGGAGACTTTCTCTAGAGGTGAGAGTCCACAGGCCCCCCCACCCCTCAGGCTGGCTCCCCCAGCTCCAGATGTCTGCGGGGGGTGCAGAGGGGAGGTGCTCAGGACAAAGAGGAAGTGGCCCAAAGGGGAAGCAGCAGTTACAGAGCGGAGGCAGGTGGGCTGGGGGAGGCAGTGCTGGAGCCTGCCTGCCCCCACGGCGCTGAGGGCCCGCAGTCCGCGGCTGGACCAGGATGAACGGCAAGGCAGGAGCTCCAGAGGTAAGTGACAGCCACAGCAGGGCCAGGCGGGAGAGCCGGGCCAAAGGGCCTGGGCCCAGGGGGTCTCCACGCCCCCAGCTGAGCCTGCAGACCACCCCTCCCCACCCAGCTGGCAGCCTCATCCCATGCTCTGCGGGGCAGGAAGTCCACGCCTCCAGCCGTGACCTTTGACACCTGCAGCGTCCCATGGCTGCCCACCACGGGGCCGGGGGTGCTTGGCGCTGCCCCGCAGGGTCCCCCAGCCCAGGACAAGCCGCCGGTGCTGCCCTGCGTGGCCGGCCTCCCAGTTTGTTCCCAGCGGCCAAGAGGAGATGCTGTGCTCTGGGCATCAGGGGCCGGGGGCCGGGGGCTGCTCCGAGTCCTGGATGGGGGCTGCAGGGCTTTGAGCTGCCCTCTGCGTGGGACATTTGGGGGACAGGCCCCTTTCCATGTGGTGCATTGGGGAGGAGCAGGTACAGGGATGTCCCTGGGGCCCCTTGGCCCCGTCCCCAGCCAGGACTTCACACTGACTGCCTCTCCTGAGAGTGAAGGCCAGATGGCGGACCCAGATCCCCCGGGCTCTGCCTGAGGCCTTGTTCTGGTTTCTTGTCTGGCTTCTGGGGGTCCCCACCACCCTGTAATGTTCCGGCTCAGGGCAGACACAGCCTCGTACGGCCAACCCCTCCCCACGCTGAGACAGGCCCAGGTGCCCTGCGGGGGGCCGCCCTGGCACGAGTCCCAGGCTGGAGCTGGAGGCAGAGCCAGCTGCTCCCGGTGTCACCCCCAGAGCCCGTGCGGCCCGGGGCTAGCTGCACCTGGGCTGCGGCCCCAGAGCCCCCTCCCCACAGGCCTAGGCCTGCAGACGTCTCCTCCGTGTTTAGCCCCGTGACTGCATGGGCTCTTTCCTGCAGCCCTGGGGGGGGTTGCTAAACTGGGGAGCACTTGGCTCATGGTGGCATTTGAGGCCACTCTGGGGAGGGACTCCAGCTCCAGCAGAGACCAACCAGCCTGGCTCCCAGCTCTCGGTGGGAAGGACCGCCCTGAGGGCTGGGACAGTCCTGCTGCGGTGGGAGAGGTCCCCCGGAGAGCGTCCCAGGGCCCCACCCAGCCCCACCCAGCCCCCACTGTGCCCTCCGGGCCAGGAGGAGGGCCCTGCGAGGGCCCCGGGGGGCTGCAGAGGGTCAGGCCCTGAAGAGATGCGGCTATTTATAGGCCCGTCAGGAGGCCCAGGCTGAAAGCAGAAACTGCCGCAGGACCTGGCACACATGTGACTGAAAGAAGGAACCGAGACTCAGACACCCAGCACCCCCCGAGAGGGAAACAGCCGAGGGCTGGGTCCCAGGGCACAGACGGATGCACACACGCACACACACACACTCACACACACGCACACGCACGCGCGCACCAGCTCTTCAGCCTCCGCACAGAGGCCGCCACCTGCAGGCCGGGTGCCCAGGGGAGGGCAGCGGAGGGCAGGGCAGGGCAGGGGAGGGCAGCGGAGGGCAGGGGAGGGCAGGGGAGGGCAGCGGAGGGCAGGGGAGGGCAGCGGAGGGCAGAGGAGGGCAGCGGAGGGCAGCGGAGGGCAGGGGAGGGCAGGGGAGGGTAGCAGAGGGCAGCCCGGCACTGGCCTCCCAGCCGGGGCACAGCCTTGGGCAGGGGTGGGGAGGCCTCTGAAGGGGCCCAGCCGCCTGGGCACCGCTGGCGCTCCCGGTGATACCAGGTCTCCTTAGGCAGGGGCTGAGGCCTCCCCAGAGAGCGGCGGTGCTCCCTGCACCGTGTGCTGCACACAGGCCCCCAGCCCCCAGCATGGAGAGGCCGGTGCGGTGGGACTGGGGCCTGAAGCCCGGCTGAGCCCCGACCTGACCAGCAGGACCATGTGACCACAGGGCCACAGAGTGCACCCCCGGCCACCCGATCCCCCGACAGAGACGGCTTGGGCCCTGCTCAGTGCCATCCTCCCGAACCCCTCGCTTGTCGGGCCCCACCCTGCCGCAGGCCTGGTCCTCTTGGGGAGGGGAGCCCTGGAGGGGCCATGCCAGCCCACGCCATCTGGGGACCCCATGGGGACCCCCTTCTTCACTTGCAGGTGCTGGGAGCGCTGGCCGTGCTGTGGCTTGGTGCCGTGACCCTGGCCTCCCTCCTGTGGCAAGTGTACCCTCCTCCCATCTGGAGCCAGGTGCACCCTGAGGAAGAGCCTGCCTGGCCCCGGGCCCACGGCTCCAGCCCGGCCCGGGAGCCCCTGACAGGGGGGGCCCGACAGCTGCAGAAGGACTCCTGCCGGTGAGTGAGGCTCCGGCAGCTTCCCCGCCCCCGCCCCCGGCCTCCACCCCAGGATGGCGCCCCGGCTCCCACTTGCCCCTGCTTCCTGCTGTGGGTGCGGGCCCTGCACAGCCCTGTGCAGAGCCCAGCCCACACACTCACCACGCGCTGGCCCTCAGGGTCAGATCCCCCCCCAGGGTCAGATCCATCCCCCCAGGGTCAGATCCGTCCCCTCAGGGTCAGATCCACCCCAGGGTCAGATCCACCCCAGGGTCAGATTCCCCCCCAGGGTCAGATCCCCCCCAGGGTCAGATCTCCCCCCAGGGTCAGATCCACCCCCCCCAGGGTCAGATCCGCCCCCCAGGGTCAGATTCCCCCCCCCAGGGTCAGATCCCCCCCAGGGTCAGACCCACACCCCCAGGGTCAGATTCCCCCCCCAGGGTCAGATCCCCCCCAGGGTCAGATCCCCCCCAGGGTCAGACCCCCTTGGCCGGCCTCCAGGGGCCTCCCCCGCCAGGTAGGCAGCCCAGACCCAAAGCCCGGTCTGCTTGGCTCCCCCTCGGTGCACCCTCGGCCTGGGCCGGAGCCGGCGATGTGAGGCAGCGGCTGGCCCCTGTGCCCTTCCGCAGGCTCGCACTGGTGGAGAGCATCCCGCAGGACCTGCCCCCGGCGACGGGTGGCCCATCGGCCCGGCCGCTGGCCCAGGCGTGGCTGCAGCTGCTGGACGCTGCCCGCGAGGCCGTCCACGTGGCGAGCTTCTACTGGTCTCTCACGGGCCCCGACATCGGCGTCAACGACTCGTCTTCCCAGCCGGTGCGTCCTGGCCCGGCCCTCCCCACGCGGGCGCTGGGCCCGTCTCTCTGGCTCTGAGCCATGGGTGCGCGGGGCGGGCCCCTGGGGAAAGGCCCAGGTCCTTGGGGCTGGCGGGGTCACCCTCACTGTGGGCCCGGCCTCGCAGGGAGAGGCCCTTCTGAAGAAGCTGCAGCAGCTGCTGGGCAGGAACGTCTCCCTGGCCGTGGCCACCAGCAGCCCGTCGCCGGCCATGAAGTCCACTGACCTGCGGGTGCTGGCGGCCCAAGGTAGGCTGCCCGTCCTGGGCCGTTGCGCGGGTGTGAGCGTGGCGCCTGGCCTGCTGGGGCCCCAGGACGAGGGGCAAGGCCAGCGCTGGCTTCAAGGAGCCAGGGGCCGTTTTCCCTGGGGCAGAGCGTAGGGGGGTCCTCGGGGCTCCCCAAGCCCCCTGATCCGGCCTGCAGGCAGGCTCGGGCTGGGAGCTCTGCTGGGGGGAGCGGCCGTGGGGGCCCTGGGTTTGGGCTGCCCGGAGGGATCCTGGGCCAGTGGATGCCTCCGTTTCCCCACAGTAAAGGAGGGCCGCGGTGGGGGTAAACACGTCCACCCGACGGCAGAGGGCTGAGGGTCAAGCTCACTTCATACGAGCCGACTCGCCGCATCGCCCTGACCTCTCGGCCAGGTGCCCAGGTGCGGTACGTGCCCCTGGGGAAGCTCACCGGCGGCGTTCTGCATTCCAAATTCTGGGTCGTGGACGGACGGCACGTCTACCTGGGGAGTGCCAACATGGACTGGCGGTCCCTGACACAGGTGAGTCCAGCGCCCAGTGAAGGGAGACCCACCTGCGGCCTGTCCACCGCCCACACCCCGGGGGGCTTGGCCCGACGTCCCCTGCTGCTGGGCATGCAGCGGGACCCTGGTGGGCATCGTCAGAGCCCGGGCCGGTAGGTGAGCGGCCTCCTCGGCCACCGCACTCACGCTGGGCTATGTCATGGCGTCCCAGGGAAGGATGTCCCAGTCACTTCACACAGGTGCCTGCAACTGCATCAAAACCAGCCCAAGAACGAGGGCAGAAAAGGCAGTGGCGTCTGTCGCCCAACAGGGACACGAATGGTTTTATGCATTTCTATTTTTTTTTGCAATAAACACGCATCACTCTGATTATTAGGATACATGTACAAGAAAACAGGGTCCCACTGGGCACCCCCATCTCATAGCGTCCCCTGCCTGTTGTGGCTCCTGCGGTGACGCTGCTGTGGACCAGCCACCAGTGTGGGGGCTGCACTCTGCCTGGGGGACCACATGTCCCCCCGGGCTCCCTCCTGCAGCCGCTGCCCCTTCCCTGCAGGTGAAGGAGCTGGGCGCCATCATCTACAACTGCAGCCGCCTGGCCAGGGACCTGGAGAAGACCTTCCAGACCTACTGGGTGCTGGGGGCGCCCGAGGCCGTCCTCCCCAAAGCCTGGCCTCAGAACTTCTCGTCCCACATCAACCACTTCCAGCCCCTCCGGGACCGCTTTGAGGGGGTGCCCACCACTGCCTACCTGTCGGTGAGAGGGGCTGAGGAGCCGGCCAGACCCCACGGGGCCCGCCAGGTCCTTGGCACACTGGCCCTGGAGCCCCAGGCGCGGGGACCCAGCTGCAGGAGAGGATGGCAGTCACCACCGCCTGGGGGTGGCGGGGAGCCCTGCGCACCCAGGGGCTCCAGGCACACTGCTGGGTGGGCTGGAGGGGCTTCAGCTGGGGCTCAGGAGTGGTGGGGGAGGAGACCCAGCGTGGGAGCCCCGGAAGGCGGGTGGGGGCCCAGCCTGACAGACACACGCCTTCCCTGGCGCAGGGAGCTGCTTGGGTCCAGGAAGTTGAGCTGACCTGGCCCTGGGGGGAGGGGGGCACCTACTTCAGGCTCTCCTGCCCCAAGGGGGGGTTTAGACCCTCCCTCCATCTCTCCCCACCTCTCCAGCCAGCGTCTCTTGTTTTCCTCCAGGCTCCCAAACACTGGGGGGTGGGGGGGTGCACAGTAGAGTCCAGAGAGCAAGCGGCTCAGGATGCCGGCTGTGCGCTCAGGGACCCCCTCCCCAAACAGGCATCGCCCCCCGCACTCTGCCCGCACGGCCGCACGAGGGACCTGGAGGCGCTGCTGGCGGTGATGGGGGGCGCCAGGGAGTTCATCTACGCCTCGGTGATGGAGTACTTCCCCACCACGCGCTTCAGCCACCCCGCCAGGTGGGTCTGGGTGGCGCCCCCTCCCTGACATTTCCTGTCCTGCTGGGATGCCTGTGACCCGCGGCGTGCCGGCGGGGACCCCGTTGGCCCAAGGACCCTGGCCCTGCCCCCCCCCCCCAGGTACTGGCCGGTGCTGGACACGGCGCTGCGGACAGCGGCCTTTGACAGGGGCGTGCGCGTGCGCCTGCTGGTCAGCTGCTGGCCCCACACCGACCCCAGGATGTTCCCGGGCCTGCGCTCCCTGCAGGCCCTCAGCGACCCTGAGGCCGGAGTCTCGGTGGAAGTGGTGAGGACCTGCTCCCTGCGCGGGAAGGGGAGGTGGGCAGGGTCGGCCCCTCTCCCCTTCCTGACTTGCCCCCTCTCCGTTCCCCAAAGAAAGTCTTCATCGTGCCGGTGAGGAACCACTCTAACATCCCGTTCAGCAGGGTGAACCACAGCAAGTTCATGGTCACTGAGAAGGCGGCCTACATAGGTGAGCAGCTGGGTCTGGGTGTCTTTGCCAGGTGCCAAGGGTGCAGGACACGGGGGCACATAACCCCACAGAAGGGGCCGGAACCCTCAAGCAGCGGCCGGCCGGGGCGCCAAAGGGGACATCGCTTTCCGTGCAGCGCGGGCCCCTCGGGGCGGAGGGTTAGGGCGTCCGAGGGGGCTCTGGGAACCAGGCAGCCATGCCAGCTGCCCCCCGACACCCACCTCCGGCAGATGGGAGACCTGAGCACTGAGTTGTCAGAGCCCTGAGTCAGGACACCTGACCCAGGGTGCGTGGCTGGAGCCTCACACGTGGCACCCGAGGGGCGGCCTGGCCAGACCTTGCCAACCCCAGAGCGGCGGCTGAGCCCACCTATCCCCGAGCCGCACGCCTGGGCCAGGCGGCAGAGTCCCCGAGCCCGGCCATCAGGGACTTTCCCACCCACTCCCACAGGCACCTCCAACTGGTCGGAAGATTACTTCAGCAGCACCTCCGGGGTGGGCCTGGTGGTCAGCCAGAGGGCCTCCCGCGCTCGGCCGGGGGTGCCCACCGTGCAGCAGCAGCTGCGGCAGCTGTTCGAGCGGGACTGGGATTCTCCCTACGCCGTGGGCCTCGACGGACAAGCGCCGGGCCTGGACTGTGCTTGGCGGGGTTGAGGTCTGGCTGCACCCGATTCCCCAGGGGCCCCGGTGGCTGCCGCTTCCGCTGTGCCACCCCCCGGTCCCCACCCTCACTAGCCCCGCTCAGGGCCAGGATTTCCCAGTTCCCAGCAGGTGCAAACCGTTGGCTGGCCCTCAGCAATCCAAACCATCCCCTCTTAAACCTCACCTCCTCCAGAGAGCCCTCCAGGATGCTCCTCCCTGACCCGCAGAGCCACAATCCCCACCCATATGGGAGGGCTTTAGAATATACCTGCACCTCCCTGCCTCTCTGTGTGAGTCCTGCACGGGCTGCACCCCCTCCCACTGGCCCCAGCTGGGAGTTCAGCACCCCTGACCCTGTGAGGGTCCCCTGTCCACATGGCTTCCAGGGGAGGCTGCTCTCCGCCTGTGTGCCACAGAGCCGCTGACTTGCCGGGGCCCGGTCCCTGCCCACAGAACCAGGGGACGGGGCGGGGCCAGGACGGGACGCATGGCTGTGAGGGTGGGCTGGAGAGGGAGGTGGGCGCCTGGGACCGTGGGCTGGACCTGGGGCGTGGGGGGGCCAGGACTGTGGGCGGCGTCCGGGGAGCCTGGTTTTGAGCGGGGCGGGGGCGGGGTGGGGACTTGCACACAGACCTGCTGGAGATGGCCCTCCTGGGCGCCCGCCCCGCCACGCAGGTCTGCATCCCGTCGCACCACTCGTTCCGGGCCTCCTGCTGGACCAGAGGCCTGTCTCGGTGCCCCCTGCCCCCCACCCTGGTTCTGGCCAAGACTTCGTGGCCCTCGGCCTGTGGAGGCCCCTGCGGCCGCCCTAGGCTGGCGCTTGGGGCGACTCAGTGGTCCGAGGGCCACTGGATGCCGAGTGAGCCAAGGGTGTGGGTACCAGGTCCCCTCTGCCCTGGAGAGAGCCCCATGGGCCGGGCGGGGGCCCCTACGCATCAGCGTCCTCGTCGGTGAGGAAGGCGCCCAACCCCGGCCTGCCTCCCCGCCCCGGCCTGCACGGCTCTGAAGGTGCCTTGGACCCCCGCGGCCCTGCAAGGTGCCCGGGGCCTCTGGTGCGTGTGCGGGGGGCTGCACTTGACCAAGCCCACCCTGGCGGCCCGCTGCCCGCGCCCGCTCCGTTCCCACGGCTGCGGTGCTGGTTTGCTGCTGCCTGTGTTCTCCGAGCACGCGGCCTGGCCCCGGGCTCTGTGCTCCAGGCCATGCTGGGATGACAAAGGCCACTGCCAATGGCCCGGTGGCCCTCAGTCTGTGGAAGCGGCGGCCACACCTCAGTGGCGATCTTGAGGCCTGCTGCAGAGCAGACCCGCACAGGAGACCCAGCTCGATGAGGCTCAGGAGGCGCCCCGGGACCTCGATGTGGGTCCTTCTGGGGTGTGGTGGACAGACCCTCACAGCCCTGCCTCCTGGCACCCACACCCTTACGCGATGCCCTCCCCTTGGGGGCGGGCAAGACCTGCCTTTGCTTGTGGCCAATAGAATGCATGGAGCCAACCGTGTCTCACTTCTGTGATTATGTGACATAAACCTGTACTGACATCTTCCTGGGGGTCTGTCCCTTGTGAGCTTGCTGAAGCCTCCAGGCTGAGGCTGGTCCTCCTGAGGGGCCTGGGCAGCCGGCCACTGACAGTGCCCCAGGTCACAGAGTTGCGCCACCGAACGGTGCCAGCAGCCACGAGTTTCAGAAGGAGCTCCTTCCCTGGATGGTTCTGGAGATGAAACCCCAGCCCCGGCTCACAGCTGCGGGGCACTGAGCAGAGGCCGCAGCTCTGTGCTTGGACCCCCGACCCACGGGGGCTGGGAGGTCTTAATGTGTGTTGTCTTAAGCTGCCGATCTGGGGGAGCTGTGACGCAGCACCCCTAAGTCCTATGCAGAATTGGGGCCCCTCCTGCCTCTGGCGCCAGGGTCCCAGCGCCTCAGGTCTTGACCCCAGCTTCAGAGGCGGCCCCCCGCGGAGCCAGGCAGGCCCCTCGGCAGCGTTCCTTCCCAGGAGGGCACACTCACTGTGTCTTCAGGACCGGCAGGCGGGGCAGGCGGCCACGCCTGGATGGTGTGATGGCCTCACTCGACTTTTGGGGCAAAGACCCCACTCTCCTCCTCCTTCCTCATTCATGAACTCCCTAGGGGCCTAGTGCCCATTTTCCACAGGATTTCACGTCTCCTAACTTGGGTGGCCTTCCCAGCCAGCCACAGGGAAAGGCACGGCGTCTGCGCAGGGGCGAGGGGGAGTGCTCAGCATCTCCTCTCTGGCCTGCTCCTCCGGCCAGGGCAGCACCGCATGGGGGGCTCACAGCCCAGCTCTTACTGCTGCACCCTCAGCCTGAGAGCCATTCCCCTCGGGGCCCAGAAGGGAGGGGTGCTGCCGCGGGGCTGTGGGCCCAGGAGGGAGGGGTGCTGCCGTGGGGCCGTGGGCCCAGGAGGGAGGGGTGCTGCCGCGGGGCCGTGGGCACAGGAGGGAGGGGTGCTGCCGTGGGGCTGTGGGCACAGGAGGGAGGGGTGCTGCCGTGGGGCTGTGGGCACAGGAGGGGTGCCACCGGGCAGGGGAGGGCAGGGTGGAGAGCTGACACTGGGCAGGAGACCCTGGAGCCTCACTCTGCATCCCCCCCCCCCGCCCACGTGAGCACCTCTGCCCTGCTCTGTCCCTGTGCTGCCTTCCTGGGGCGCGGGGTGTGGGGACGGCGTGGCCTCCTTCCTTTCCACCCCTCACAGCTGCCGACTCGGAGAGGGATCTGAGGACACACGGGAAAGCGAAGGGCGGCTCTCAGACCCCCGGAGGGGCATCCCGAGGGAACTCCCTCCCAGGGAACTCGCAGAGACCCGGGCGCGCGCGGGAAGGAGCCAAACACAAGACCTCGCAGCCGGTGCTGAGGGTGCGCGTCCTGTCCTTTATTTCGCACCTGGGGCAGCCCAGCGGCAGCGTGCGCACAGAGGGTCCCAGGGACTGCGCGCGGGGCACCCGCAGCCAGGGGGGAGTTCTGGGAGATGAGCAGGCAGAGGGCCGCCTGGAAGCACCAGACTCCGCCCCCCCCCCCCCCCCCCCGGCCNGGTCCAGCTCTGGGGTCAAGTGTCAGGGCAGGGCAGGTGGTGGTCACAGCTTAGCCTTCATGTGGGGACAGTGAGGCCAGGTAGTCAGCCCCCAGCCCCCCCCCCCCCCCCCCCCCCCGGGCCGGGGCAGGGCAGGGGCTACAGCAAAACCACTCCGCCCTCGGCCGCCAGCACCCCCACGGCCACTACCCTGCATGGTCCCCGCAGTCGTCCCGCCGCGGAGGGAGGACTCAGTCCTGTGGACGGGAGCTCCGCGCGCTCAGGGCCTCACGACTTCATCTGGGCGCCTGTCCTTGGGGAAGGGTCGCCCCTGCCCGGCCCTCATTTGCCGCTGGGGCTGGGCGCGGGGGGCGGGCTGGCTTCTCCGTCCACCATCGCCCCGGAGCCCAGCGACTCCCCTTCTCCCTGCCCCTCGGGGGAGAAGCTGTCTCGGGCATCAAAGAAGGGGCCTGCCTCGTCCTGGAGATGCGCCTCCTCTTCAGCACTTTTGCTTTTCTTGGTGGGGGACGAGGAGAACCCCAGCTTGGGGAACCGAAACCAGCCGGCCCTCTCCTGCGGCGGCGCCTCGGGCTGCGTCTGGACCGGAGCCCGTGTCGGGGCTTCGGCCTGGGTGTCAGCGCTGGCCTCGGCGACCGGGCCAGAAAAGCCGATGCTGGGGAGCCAGAACCGGAACAGACCGGAGGGCCTCTTAGCTTCTGCTTTTGCTTTGGGGGCCCCGGCCTCCTCTGCCAGGGCGGCGGCCGCCTCCTGGCCCTCTTCTGGCGGGAACTCGAGAATTTCCACGGGCTCCTCGTCCGAGCAGCTGTCTGCAGGCCCGCGGCCAGAGCGGAGGTCGGGGGAGCAGGCTGGCACGTCTGCACCGGGGGAGATAATTTCAAACGGCTCTCCGGTGTCAGGCTGCGGGTCTCCAGAAACAGGTGCTGCTCCTGGGCCAACCGGTTCAGGGAGGGGCCCTCCGGGCCCCGAGTCTGCAGTCAGCATGTGCACCTGCGACCGCGTGCTGGGCTCTGGGACCCTCCCCTTTAGTAAGGAAAACCTGCAAGAAGGTGTTTGGGTCTCGGACGCGGGGACCTCTAACTCCCGCACGATCTGAGTGGGAAAAGCCCGGGGCCCCGAGAGCTCGGTGTACGTGGCTGTCACGGTGCTGTGCACAGTGACCTTCTGGCTCTCAGCCTCTGCGCTCTGAATGTGCACCCTGACCTTACAGATGGGGGCGGCTTCCGAGGAGAGGACGCCAGTGCCCCCGACGCCCGGGCTGGGCCCGTGCAGCGCAGTGTCAGGCCGGCCCTGCGGGGACCCCAACTCTCTCACGCAGGGCACGAAAATGTCAGCCTCGGCGCCGGGGGCCGGGAAGCTGAACCTTGGAACCTTTAACTTGGGGAACTGGACAGTGAGCACAGAGTCTTCCCAGACGTGGCCCACGGTGACCACGGAAACCTGGGCCGGCACGTCGGTGCTGGAGGCCCGCAGCCTCAGAGGGCCTTCGGGCTGGGGAGGCAGCTCCTCTGCCCCCACGGCGCCCCCGGCGGGGCCCCGCGCTGCCGTCCCAGGAAGGGGGGGCTGGCCTGCTTCTCCTGGAGGGGCACGGGTCTCTGCAAGCGTCCCGCACCGCTGGAGAGGGAGGGAGCCTGCGCCTGGCCGGACCCTTCCCTCAGCAGAGGACGCCCCTGCAGCAGGCTCCGGGAGCCCCAGGCCCCCCTGCAGAGCATCCGTGTGAGCGGCAGCCTCCGTGCCAGCGGCATCCACATCGTGGGCATCAGCCTCCAGGGGCCGCGGGCACTGAGCTGTCCCCTCCCCTGACCCAGGAACAGCAGCACCCTGACTCTGCACTGTGGCTGGGACACCAGCGGCAGGCGCCGGCCTCTGAGCCCCCAGCCCTGCAGCCCCAGGTCTCTCCTTGGGGGGGCGCCGGAGGCTGGGCAGTCGAAGCCCTGGGATTCTGAACCAGCTCTCCCTTGAGCCTGCTGCAGCGCCCGGCGCCTCCCGCTCTGGGCTCCCCTCAGCGGGGGACGCGGCATCTGGCCTTGTCCTGGCCGGTGGCAGCGGCACTTCCGTCAAGGGGGCTGTTGCCTCCCCACAGAGTGGGCCTGGTGGACTGTCCCCGAGAAGCAGGGCGTGGGAGGGCAGGCTCACCCCCACCGTGGCATCGCCGGCTCCGGGCACAGCTTCGACGGAGCCAGCACCGGGAGCCTGGGCCTGTGGGGGCTGGAGGGTCATGTCCGCTCCTCCCGGGGTCCCTGCTGCTGCACCTGCACCCCCACCCCCCCCATCTCCGCCCGCCCCTGCTGTGGAAACCGTCATTCTGGGGGGTGAGACCTTCAGTGCGGCGAGGGCAGGTGCTCCGACCACTCCCCTCCCCCCTTCCTGCGCCAGGGGCACATCCTCAGGTGCTTCTGCACCGGAACCTCCCGGGGGGGCCTCAACAACCAGGCCGCCAGGGGCTGCTTTGGGCTCCG